ATCCGGATCCAATTAATTATTTAATTAATAAATTAATTAATAAAATTTTTCAGTGAGAGAATTGAGCTGCCTTGGCGGAGGTCTGTGCTCTCCGAGTGCTCTAGTTACCATTGTTTACCCCTTACAAACACACGCGCACACACGAGCACGCACGCACGCACGCATGCACGCACGCGCACACATACACACGTTACCGAGTCTCGTCCAGCTTCGCTTCTCCTGCTCTTGCCTATCTACCGGCTCCCTGGGATGCATTCACTTGCACTCGTAGACAGAGATGGAGACGTAGAGGATGCACAGTTTGACGGCCGTCGCCAGCGTGACAGGTTAAATATCTATTCAATGCCTGCCGCCGCTGCGCAGTACGCGGAGAGAGAGAGCGAGAGAGGGAGAGAGAGAGAGCGAGGGCCAGCAACGTAGTATAGGCTGTACAGCGTGCACGCTCCAGACAGCTGCATCGAGCATGTGCAGTACAAAGCCAGACATACTGGCTGGAACACCGCTGGCTGTCTGCAGCGGCTGAAGCATGCAGCACGCACCGCTGAGCATAATTGTTCAATGCATTTTTTGTCTACGCAAGCCGGCAGTGGCGGTGCAAAGTGTTGCACACTCTGCGGCATCTACGGGAACCAACAGCGGCGCAGACGACTGCTTACAGAGAGAGAGAGAGAGAGAGCGAGCGAGGGAGACAGAGAGAGAGAGAGAGAGAGAGAGAGCTAGGTTAGCATCGTTTTTCCTCATGGAAAAGCGCCATATTAAAGTGACTTGGCAGTACGTATCGTTGCTTTTCTGTCGGTCAAGCGGTTGAGACCACCGCGAATTAGAAAGAGTTAAGAATATTTAGCCCGAACATGATATTGTAAAAATCTCCTGGCTGGAGTGTGCTGCCACCTACGTGTACGTAATAAATTGCAGTCTAGTGAGGCTCTCGAACCAACACGTGACCAAGACGAAAAGAATCACTACCAGCTCCACTGCTGCTGTACTCGTATGACAAATACTACTGATTTAGTATGACAAATACTACTGATTTAGTATGACAAATTCTACTGATTTCGTATGACAAATTCTACTGATTTAGTATGACAAATACTACTGATTTAGTATGACAAATACTCCTGATTTCGTATGACAAATTCTACTGATTTAGTATGACAAATACTACGGATTTCATATATGACAAATACAAATTACAATGTACGTCTGATATAATAAATGTATAACATAAATAATTATTCACGAATGGAGAGTTTGTGCTCAGGTCAGGATGCTCAGGGCGTTATGGAAAGATCAAGAGATGTACGTTCCAACCTAACTGGAATTCGGAAATAAGAAAATGTATACTATGTGTAGAATTAAAGATATCAAATTATAAGCTGCGTTCACACGAGGATTTCAGTACCGTACTTGAGCGTTCACACGCTAAAAATATACGCGGCTTATTCAGTACCGTACTGAAATACGCGGCTTACTCAGCGCGGAATCACATTTCGCGCCGAGTAAGCCGCGTATTTCAGTACGGTACTGAATAAGCCGCGTATATTCGGCACCACGCTGGCCGCGTATTGTCTGTCGTGTGAACGCAATTTCGAATTGCGAAACTGTAGTGCGCTTACCTAGACTGGTACCCATTCGCTACATGACGTTAGTGTGGCGTGTGGAACTGTCGACCGGGTACCAGTCTATATTATACCTAGCCAGCTATGCCTCGATTCTCGTGTGAATGCTCCGGGTTGTCTTAGCACGGTATTTCAGTCGAATTCAGCACCAGATAAGTACGGAACCAGCGAGGCCGTGTATATCGTGTGAACGCAGCTATTGTTGGTGCTCTTGTTAATAATAATAAAAATAATTGTAATTTATTTATAACTAGAAAGGGCAGTTGTCGCCAACTACATGTATCCCCCGTGATTTAGTATGAATGAAATATCTCTGTAAGGACGTAGAAGGTAGGTAAAGTTAAATAAGTCACAAAGACAAAGGTTTGTTACACAACTCATCTGCCTGAGATGTGCAAGTATGTTAAAATTGATTGCCTTATACCCCTTTTATACTGCGCACGACTTTAGCCCGCTTCTGAAGCGGGATAACTTTTGCTCGAGATATTTAAGTCGTTTTATACTCCGCACGACTTTAGCCCGCTTCTGAAGCGGGATAACTTTAGCTCGGGATAAGTCGTTTTATATTGCGCACGACTTTAGCCCGCTTCTGAAGCGGGATAACTTTAGCTCGGGATAAGAATTTTAAACTGCTGAAGCAGGATAACTTTAGCTCGGGATAAGTCGTTTTATATTGCGCACGACTTTAGCCCGCTTCTGAAGCGGGATAACTTTAGCTCAGGATAAGTAGTTTTATACTGACGTTAGCTCGAGTCTGAATCGCACCTGAACCACCTCCTAGAGCGAAATAACTTTAGTTTGGGCTAAGTATGTTTCGACCTTTTATACTGGGGTTATCCCGCTTCAGGTCGTGACCTGAAGCGGGATAACCCCCAGTATAAAAGGGGTATTAGGGGTTTTGGTACGTGACACACCTTCTCCCCGGTCAATTAGGGGCCGAGTTATAGAGCGGAAGGGAAATAAGATGAAGGTCAAGGTCAAGGTCAATGTCAAATAAAGGTTGCAGTGACCTGGTTTCAGTACGCGACACACCTTCTCCCCAAGATGTGTAAGTATACCAAGTTTGGTCACGCTAGGTCAATTAGGGGCCGAGTTATAGAGCAAAAGGGAAATATGGTCAAGGTCAAATAAAAGCCACAGTGATGTGGTTTTGGTACGCGACACACATTCTCCCCAAGATGTGTAAGTATACCAAGTTTGGTCCCGCTAGGTCAATTAGGGGCCGAGTTATAGAGCGGAAGGGAAATATGATCAAGGTCACGGTAAAGGTCAAATAAAGGTCGTAGTGACCTGGTTTTGGTACGCTGCGCACCTTCTCCCCATGATGTGTAAGTAGACCATGTTTGGTCACGCTAGGTCAATTAGGGGTCGAGTTATAGAGCGGAAGGGAAAGTGTCTGCGGCGGTGGCGGCGGCTGGACAGACATGAAACCATAGTATCCCCGCCGACTTCGTCGCGGGGGATACAATAATTACAAGTCTGTGTAACTGTAAATGAGTGTGCCAAGAGTAGAGACTTCTCTCAGTCTTACATGTAAACTGGTGTTTGTGTTCACTATAAGTATAATACCAAAGAATAGACTCAACCCTCTCGTTCACATACTGCACTGCAAAAAAATTATGGGTATATAAACCAAGCTAAGATGTCTGTTGGCTATTGAAGTGATCCATAACTCTGTAGAGTGCATTTAAATGTAGACTAAAGGCACACTAAAGGAAGAATGAGCTTTTCAAGTGTCATTAACCATGCGAATACAGCAAAAGCTGAACATGCAGTTTTAAAGATATAAAATATGTTCATCCTCTAACGGTCAAACCAAACTGAATCTTTCAGCATACACTTCTTCTAAGGCCTAATCTCAACTGGCATTTCTTTGCAATCGGACAGCATTTAACAGAAGCCAGTATGCCATGAGACGTGTGCACTGACATGTGACTTGGTTTTGCGAGTTAACTTTAACCCACAGTTTAAGAAATTTCATGAACATACAATCAATGAAAAATCGAGCCCGACAGAAAACAGATTAACAATGTTTGTTTACCGTAATGCACATGTATGCAGAAAAGGTCAAGTCTACTGTACAAGTAGTCAACAATTAACGGCATAGTAAGCCAGTAGCAAGTATAGACCAGCCCAAACACTATCTAGGCCTATAACTCAGTGGTTCTTAACCTTTTTTTGAGTCATGGACCCCTTTGAGAATCTGGTGAAAGCTATGGACCCTTCCCAGAAAAATAGACATAAGCACATGTACACACAAAATTCTGCATGTGCCTGGTTCACGGACCCCCTGAAGCCCGTCCATGCCACAGGTTAAGAACCCCTGATCTATAGGAATTAGGATATATATGACACGATAATAGTACGGCATAGCTAGTAGGGACAGTGATTTTCCGTTTCAAAAAATTGCCTTTTCCGTTTGGGAAAATCATGAATTCCGTTCCAAAGTAAAGAAAAAATGGAAATTCCGTTTTGCCATAGAGATTGTACACACCAAAAATGCAAAATTCCGTTTACATATATATTTGCATGAAAAAAAAGTATTTGGTACAACCTTTGAAACCGGAACCGGCACCGAAACACAGGGCTACCAAAAGTCGTAATTGTAAGTCATTTTGCTCTGAAACTTGTCTGAATGTAAACCATATCATTACGAATGCTATTGTCAACTGTTTGTTTTTCATTTTATTGAAATTTCTATGTTGTAATATGTTCAAATTACGTTTTCTGCGTTTTTCTGTTTGAAAACAGCTTTGCCGTTTCCAATGGCCGTTTCCGTGTTCTCCGTCAGTTTTCCGCGATGGCGGAATATCACTGTCCCTACATAGCACGTTATAGTAAAGTGCGCTGACAGTGTTTCACCTGGGAGATTGCATGCACCTTCTGTTGAGAATGCAGATTTATGCATTTTAGTGGAATTGCATTATATATAGCAACTCCTGCATCGTTATAAATGTACGCACAAGGCACTACCATAACGCTGCAGCCGTACGTGGTTTGTTCCATAGAAGCTGGACTTGGACTTGTAACCATCCTGAGTAGTGCACAAGACAAGATTGCTCTGGGTAGTCGCGTTTGAAAGAGGGGTTCTTGTTATGACACGTGCACAAGCGTCCAAACTTGCAAGTGTATTTTATAATTTAGCATCTCCTTTCCTTTATCCAGCTCTACATTATCTTAACATGTCAACTCTCTCTCATACCTCTCTCTCTCATCTCTATCCTCTCTCCCCCTCTCCCTCTCCCTCTCTCTCCCCAGCCATTTCACTCTCACTCTCTCGCTCTCTCTC